TTTGAATTGCATGATAGTTTACACTTATAGTGTACTATCTTTTGTGTCCTTGTTAAATTGCTTGAATTTCTAGAATTTCTTAAATTGCTTGATTTTCTTGAATTCCTTGAATTCCTTGATTTTCTTGAATTGCCAATTTTTGGATCGTGGTTACTGCTGTCCAACCAATGATATCTCTTGCTGGAAGACTCGTCGGTCCGGTTTTTCTTTGCTTGAAGCAGCCAAAGGGGAAGATGAGCGATAGTAAGTTGATCAACTACATGTTTTTTGTATAATAAAAGGATATTACCTTTATTAGATATCAAAAGCAAACTGGTTTCGGCTCCGAACGTCGTTGTTACATGCAGTTCTTCACGGAAGCTCACCACCTCATTGGTGGAATACTGGAGAGATCACCTTTTTCGCCCGTTTTCTTCGACAAAGTGTTTCTTGCTCTCGGATTATTGGTCTGGTCAACGAAATTCCGATAGATACTCTAGCGTCGAAGGATGTAAAAGACTTGCCCATACTACATGGCGCATTCAACCACTCGATGTTTATTTCAATAGACAATAGAAATTGATTGCTCGGCGTATTTTCGATCATATTCAACTTGATAATATTGCCATTAACTTATCCGAACGAAACAATATAATACGCTTAAATTCTCTCATTCACAGCAGGCCGTCCTCGTCTCTATTCACACCTATGATGAAGTATTCATGGTTCGCAGCAGGTTACGTCGATAAACATTCAGGGGATTTCAAGTCCGTCAACGATGTTTGCTTTAATGCCGATGGTAGCTTTCGTCAGCAGTCGAACTGCCACTTGCTGCCCTTTATTCAATGCAATTACTGTCGTAAATTTCTTTGCTTCGAGGATTTTTTCGAAGCTTATCACTATAATGCATAAGTGTTTTCTCTCGATCTTCTTGATCGCAACATTTCGAATACAACTAGTAGTACAGAAAAAAATTCAATGTGTTACTGTTGTCATTTATGAAAAAGACTGATGTGAACGATAGCAACAATATAGTTTATCAGAAAAGGTTTAGCTTGTAATACGTTTTCGTTCGTGGTATGATGCAATGATATATGTTACAAATCGCTATATTACCGAGGAACTTAAAAATTCAGTATCTCAAGACAGGAAAGCCATGGGTCCGAATCCTTTTAGGGTTTTTCTACTCTAAAGATCCTCTCGATATCCCCAAAATATTAGCTCAAAAGCGGTGAATCACTTCGAACGGTTCCCTCGTTAGTGAAGATGAATGGAAAGAAGCGGTTGCAAAATATAAATCGTTAAGTGCCGATAGTGATGTTAATTATCTTTGTCGAACAGTAACAGCTAGTATTAATATTGGCACAGACGCTTACTTCGATAATGATATAATTTTAAGTCAGTTTAAAAAACTGTTCAAAATGCTATAATTTAAACAGGAATTTAAGCACAAGTAACGTTCGTCGGTTCGACTCACTTGACCCTCGACTGTATAAGACAGAAGTATATTCCACATGTGTCAGTATCGAAAGAATTGATCTATCAGCTTTATCACAATAACTGACGCAAATTTCAATTTTTTAAATCGTACAAGTCGAAGAAACTGC